GCTGCTTGCCCCAGCGCCCGGGCTGGGCCCGTCACCCCGGAACAGCTGCGCACCTGCACGCTCGCGGTCTGCGTGACGCTGTGTCTGATCTGCTTGGTAGGCGTGAGGGCAGGGTTTGGTTCAGCCTGGCTCAGGGTGGCCTCGCTGCTGTAGAGGATGTGACGGGAACCCCACTTCCTGGAACGAGGTGACAGGAAGTGCTGCCAGCCCAGCTGTGCCGCCTCAGAGGCCCGCTTGTCACCTCTTCCTGCAGGTCGCCCAGCGCGTCCCTGCAGCCTGCCCTGCACAGTCGCCCGGCCACGGGCGTGCGAGCTCCCGGCGCCTCTGTGTGCGCACGGCCGGGTCTGCAGGTGACCGGGGACAGTCCCGGGCCTGCGGGGCACGTGCAGGTGCGCAATCGGGGGCCTGAGCCTAATGCCCCCTCTGCCCGAGCACTTGCCCCAGCTCATTACTGATTGATCGCAGGCTCGCACCACCTTCCTTCCTCCCGGCGCGCCGAGGCGCTTTCTCTCTGACACTGGCTGCCCGGCAGGTGCGGTCCCCCTGAGTAGCTGATGGCGCCCGTGTGAAACCTCGTCTTCCCTCTCCTGTCCCACACCCGCCGACCTGGCCTCTCCCGCAGGCAGGGCCGGGCTTCTGTGAAAGGGGCAGCGGGCGGGCGGGGCTGGAGGGCTCAGGGCTCCCTCCCCTGAACGTGGCTGAGGCTGGTTCGGTTCCTGTGGACCCTCCCGACCCCCCGCCCCTCCTCAGGCAGAGAAATCGTTTTAAAGGTATTTGTTGTCGTTTTAAGTAGCAGAACCCAAGCTGCATTTTTATTTATTGTGCCCAAGAAACGTAAATCTGGTTTTTAAAAAGAATCTAGCGCTGGGGAGTGGGAACCTCTGGACACACGAGCGCTTCTCTGTGACGTGCAATAGGCTTCGCGCTGGCGGCGGTTCCGTCTGACCTGTAAATAAGAGATGTATTTACGTGAAAAGGGAGCTTTTTGTAAAAGGACCAAATGTTCTTTTATAAATGTACTGAGACTTATCTTGCTCTTTGAAATTTATTAGGATTTTTATGAGCCGTTTTTATTAAAAGATTCGCTTTTTTGGAGTTGTTTCGTTTCTCCTTTCCACGCGCACACAGACACGTTGCCTGCGGAACAGATCAGGGGGAGTCTTCAAAGGAAACGATAAAATGAGGCGAGTCAGAGCTTTTCGCAGCTAAGCCTGTGCACTGCCCCCCCTCTCCCGGCATCTGCCACCTTCACCGTCTGCCCTGCACCCTGCCCTGCACCGGGGTGAGGCCCCTCGGAGGGGTTTGTCCCGCCCCCTCCTCCCCCCCAGCCTCACTCTCAGTCACTTTCAGTTCCCGTTGCCATTTGTGTGGGTCTGTCCAGGTTCCGGAGCCAGTCGTCTGTGTGGTCAGCGGGGCGGTCACTCCCCCTACCCTCTCACGGGAAGAGGGGGTACACGTGCCCTGGATGTGGGGGGCACTGTCCAGGGAAGCAGGCGAGGGCGTCTCGGGGACGGGATGGGATCTTGAAGATGGATGATCCTGCCCCCGGGGCGTCTGGGTGCCCAGCTTTGTGTCACAGGCGGTTCTGATGAGCCTTTTAAAAAACAATTCCAAGGGGGCGAAGGAGAGAGCCCTGAGGTTGGTGAAACACAGCTGATACCAAGGCACGGGCCACGGAAGCAGGTGGCCTGGCTGCGAGGTCCCGTGGCTCCGTGGCCTCTCTGTTGTTAATCCTCACCCGAGGATACTTTTCCATTGATTTTTAGAGAGAGTGGAAGGGAAGGGGAGAGAGACAGAGGGAGAAACATTGATGTGAGAAAGATGCATCGATTGGTTGCCTCCTGCATGAACCCCAACCAGGCTGGGAATCCAGCCTGCCACTGAGGTACCTGCCCTTGACCGGAATCGAACCCAGGACCCTTTAGTCCTCGGGCCGACGCTAAGCCCAATCGGCAAGGGCAGGTCTGTAACCTCTGATGAGGCTGAGCAGGCCCAGTACGCTGCCCAGGGCCCCTGAAGAGCCATCTGTCCCGACCGGCCCTGCCTGCCTTCCCTCTCCAAGGGGCCGAGCCCCGACCGTGGCAGCGAGTGGCCAGGCGCAGCCTGTGCGGACCCCAGGGGAGCACTAGGGCTCAGCAGAGGGACCCCCGCTGCAGCCCAGCTGTCCCTCCAGGAGCTTTGTGCTGTGGGAGCGGAAGAGGCGCCCCGCCGTGTCCCCATGGGGTCCGCCTCCCTGGGGCTGAGGGCATCGTTTGCAGCTTGTCCTGTGGAAATGTTTCACATCCACCCTTGGGTGCCCCGGGGGTGCTCGCGTGCCCATTAGAGGGATTCTGGGCATGTGAGAGGCCTGCCCTCTGATAAAGGGACAGGGGGTGTGGGGGGAACTGGCAGGTCACAGGTCAGGGGTCATTTCAGGTAAGAGCACAAACGCATACTTTCCCTTGTTCCTCGTGCCCTTAGGCCCTGCAAGCAGGTTCCGTAGCTGCTGTACATACCGCTCACGTCCACCAGAGGCCACTGTCGCCTCACTTTCTCTAACGGTGCTTTTCTTTAAAAAAAAAAAAAAAAGACAAATTCTAACAACCGTGGTCCAGAAAGAGCAGGTCCACGTGTTTCCACGCAGCGTGCAGACGTGACGGCGTGGCCCTGTGGGATCTCGTGCCGTGCCCTCGGCGTGCGCCAGCAGACGATGACAGTGATGACACTGGGTGTCTATCGGGTCTTCCCCAACGATCACGCTCTTTCACATTTTTAAATCTTTTTCAAAATATATTTTTATTGATTTCAGGGCGGAAGGGAGAGGGAGAGAGAGAGAGAGAAACATCAAAGATGAGAGAGAATCATTGAGCAGCTGCCTCCTGCACGCCCTCTACTGGGGATCGAGCCCACAACCCGGGCCTGTGCCCTGATGGGGAATGGAACTCTGACCTCCTGGCTCATAGGTCGATGCTCACCCACGGAGCCACGCCGGCCGGGCCAGCTCTTCCATATTCACCTCAGGTAGGACTCACGGTGCCTGTCTTGGGGTTCCCGTTCTCCAGAGAGTGAGTCCAGGGCCTTGCGCAGTGTTCACGTGGGTCAAGCACGTCCAAGTCACAGCCGGCGGCCACGAGTTTCACATGCTTGACGTGGGTGGTGGAACTTCCCCCCGGGACGCTTCTGTCCGCCTGCAGTGCTGGGGGCGATGCCGCATGGTGGGTAAAGCCTGGAGGGGTCTCTGGGCGCCCGGGGGCCCCGCTCAGCTTCGGCTCTCCTTCCTCCAGCCCCTGGCAGCCCCCGGTCCCCGCCTGCAGTTCCCACGAGCCGAGCTGGCGGGCCGAGGCAGGCAGCGGTACTTGGAGCCCACACTGTGGGTCTGGATCTGGACGCTGCTCCTTCTGAGCTGGGCGAGTTAGTAAACCTCTGCGTCTCGGTCTCCTCACCTGTCAGACGGGGCTAATTATACCAGCTCAGAGGGGTTCCTGGGACGGAGCAAGGCCTGGTGTGCAGGGGGTGGGTCTCTCAGCAGCCCCCTCCCCTTCCCCCTCCCTCCCCCACAGATCAGCTGCCTCTGTGGCAGAGGCCGGGTTCTGAGAGAGCTCACAGAACACGTGGTACCGACCTCATTGCCTGTGGTACGACCCGTGGTCCTTGGGCCAGTGGTTCTCAAACTTGCATAAGAATCTCCTGTGCTGCCCGGCCGGCCTGTCTCCGTGGTTGAGTGTCAACCTATGAACCTGGAGGTCACGGGTTCGATTCCTGGTCAGGGCACATGCCTGGGTTACTGTTCGATCCCCAGTAGGGGGCCTGCAGGAGGGAGTCGATCAATGATGCTCTCTCATCATTGATGTGTCTCTCTCTCTCTCTCTCTCCCTTCCTCTCTGAAATCAATAAAAAGCTATTTTTCCCCCCAAAAAAACGAATCTCCTGTCCCATCCGAGATGCTGGCCAAGTACAGACCCTGTGGGCTCCCCCTCAGGAAGCGTGGCTGGCCCCCAGGTCCTCCCTGCTGCCCGGCTGAGTCAACACGTCGCCTCACCGTGCAGGCACCACCAGTCGCTGAGGGCCTGGTGGAACAGGAACGCAGGGGAGGGCAGCTCTGCTCCTGCCCTGGGGCACGGTTCTCGGCCTCTGGCCTTGGACTGGAACCACCTCAGCACCTCCCTGAGCCTCCTGCTAACGGGCAGCTGGTCGTGGTGTGACCGGAAAGGGGACCTGGCCCCTGGCGCGTCTGCCTCAGGACAGCCGGTGGTGTGTGGGTTCTTGACTTCCTGCAGGAAAGATGTCACAACGTGAGTCCAGGTGACGACAAGGGACCGTGAACAAGGAAGGGCCTAGCATGGAGAAGCAGCAGGACAGCCAGGCGGGGCCGCCCTAGCTCTCAGCGAGACGGGGTCAGGGGGTTAGCCTGGGACGAGCTGCCGCTGCCCAGTGCTCCCCAGGTCGCAAGGTCCGTTAGGGTTCAGGAGATGCACGCCTGGCCTGCGGGAGAGCAGGAGGGGAGAGGGAATGGCGGGGCTGCTCCAGAGGAAGTGCCCGCCCTGGTCCTTTGTCTCGAGCTCTGTCTCTCCTGCAGGTGGATCTTAGGGGAGGTCTCAGCAGAATACTCATCTGCTTCCTGCTGTGCCCTTTCAGGGTCGAGGTCGTCACTGATGGGTCAGCGCCAGGGCAGGGCTGTTCGTCATTGCAGCTGGTCTTGGCTTTGCCCACTGGGTTTTGCTGCTTTTCTGGGCCTGGAGCTGAAATACAGCTGAGGCCTTGATGTGATCACTAGGGAAGTGACCTGCACCTGCTGTCAAATGCTCGGCCAGTCTGTCCCGCCGGCTGTCTCAGTTTCCCTGTTCTGCCTGTCCTGGCTCACTGGCCCGTCTCATTGGGACATCTCGGCCGTGGCAATCAGGTGAGGCCAATCCCCTATCACAAACCTCCTGCATATCTTTTTAAAAACAGCCCCCTGGCGTGTTGCTAACCAGTTTCTAGACAGCCTGAGTCAGTCTCGCCTGTGATTGGGAGGTGGTGGCCGGAGGACCCAAGTTTGAGAGCCACGTTCCTGGGAGTTTACCGCGTCTTGAAGCTGACTTCCAAGGGTGCTTTCAGCAAATTTGCACATCAGGCTGGTCTAAGCTAGTCCTGGGACCCCCCTGCCTGCCCCCTGCCTCCCTCATACCCCCTGGCACTCAGCAGCTGCCCGCCAACTTTGGATGCTCTCGGAAAACCATCCTCGAAGGCAGGAAAGCTCTTCAAAATGTGGCTCCCACCCTGGCTGAGCAGCTCGGTTGGTTAGAGCAGCATCCTGTACGCCAAGGTTGTGGGTTTGATCCCCGGCCAAGGCACATACAAGAATCAACCGATGAATGCATAAGGTAGTGGAACGACAATTGCTCTCCCTCTCTCTCTCTCAAATCAATGAATAAAAAAGAAAAAAAATGCCATGTGGTTGCAGAGCAGCAGCAGCCCCTGGGAACTTGTTCCAAATGCCACTGGGTGGGCCTCCGGGACTCAGTGAAAGGGAACTCCACCTCCGGTCCTGCAGTTGGGCAGCCGGGGGGCCTTCCTCCCACGGGTGGGTCAGGGTCCTGCATCCGGGCGGCTGTGAGGGGTGGGAGGTGGTCTCCTTGGCCCCCTCCTGAGCGGGCAGGTACTGAGCATCATCAGGTCGCTTACTCTCCCCCCTAATGTGCCTAAACCACATGCTGATTCCTCGCTGCAGGCTTGGTGTTTCAGCCACTGCCAGGCGCCCTACTGGGCGCTGGGGGCACAGGGACGAGACTGCCTTCCCTGAGATAAATGTTGACCGCAGATGTGGGAGGAGCTATGACAGCAAGCGTCCTGGGCGGTGGGGGGAGTGCTATTTGTGTTTTCTTGGATGATACAGAGGACATGTCTGGGTGTCTATCTTTCACTCTGTCACCCTTGTTCTGGGAAGAGGGCCTTGATCCTCACCTCCCGCCACCCAGGTCCACTCTCCCTCCCCAGGTTGGGGGGGCACATGACAGGGCAGAGCCCTCATCTCCTCCCCCAACAGTGGTCTCTAGCAATGGGCCCTGCGCTGCCAAAGGAGACTCAGTCCTGGGCCTTTTTCTAAAAAACGACTGGAGAGAGAAAGAAAGGAAAACTGTTTGGTCACTGCTGACGGTCCTGGTGTGGGGTTTCCAGGGGCTGCCCTGAGGGAGGGGCTTTCCTGAGAGCCAAGCCCACCCCGGGGAGGGAGCCGAGGGAGGAGCAGTCCTGGTCACAGTGGACAGCCAGATGCGGCCACGCCTGACGCATTGACTCCCGGACTTGTTAGTGTGGTGAGCGAATACTTTCCTTTTTCAGCCGGAACTCATGTCATCCCTGGAAGCTCGAGGGCTGTGATATTAAGTGCAGAGAACGTGGGTCCAGCTCCGGGCTCTGCCCCATTCAGGTGGGGCATCGCCTCTCCTGGTTGAGAGGATTCAGCAAGAGGAAAGCATCTTCGTGTCAATTCCATGGTGCATATACGCCACAATTTGTTTTTTAATATATTTTTATTGATTTCAGAGAGGAAGGGATAGGGAGAGAGAGATAGAAACATCAATGGTGAGAGAGAATCATGGATCGGCTGCCTCCTGCACACCCCACCCTGGCGATCGAGCCTGCAATCCGGGCATGTGCCCTGACTGGAAGTCAAACCGTGACCTCCTGGTTCATAGGTCCATGCTCAACCACCGAGCCACGCCAGCTGGGCAATTTGTTTATATTTGTATTAGGATTGTATTTTATTGAAAAAAAGGAAAAATGTCTGCTGGACACTGTGCTTCTTTGCAGGAGGGGGAGGGAGGGAGACACTGTACCATCTGGACTGTCAGAATGGAGATGAGAAGAACCGACACCCCCCTGTACTGGGGACTCGGCCACACGTGCCTGAAACACAAAATATGGTCACAGTTAAGCAAAAGCAAAAAGGCGGTTCCTCGCTGCAGCCCAGCCACCCTCACTGAGCACCTACCATGGGCTCTGACTGGACCCATGATAGTCCTGACCTAGACTCATCCCAGGGGCTGGTGTCAGACAAGGCCAGGCTGCTGGGCGCTGACCAGTTCGTTAGGAGCTGACAGTGTCTCAGGCTCACCAAGCTCTATTCTCCCCCAACCCCTGGGCCTTTGCACCTGCAGGTCCCCCGGAGGAGAACAGCCCGCTCTGACAGGGGGACCTCCAGGTCTCCGCTCACATTTCGCTTCTTCCTAGCGGCCCCTTACATGCTGGCTGCCTGTTGGTGCCCAGTCCCCGCAGGAGGCGCTCAGGCAAGGTCTCCGGGCCAGGGCGCACGCCCATCCACATGCGGACCCCTTTCCCGGCCACAAGTGGGGGGACCTGCGGATCCCGCCCGGCTTGCAAACCCAGCTGGCCCGGGGCGCATAGGCTCGCGCACGCGCACACATACGCGCGGAGCGGGACCCTTCCCCGCCGCCCACGGAGGCTGGCTCGCGCATGCGCGCGGGCACGCCCGCCGGCTCCGCGCCCGACGCCCACCCGGAACAAGGAGTGGCCTGTGCGCACGCGCGGTCCGAGTCCCCGCCCCCTCCCGGCCGCGCCCTGGGGGCGGGGCTTGCTGGGGGCGGGTCCTGCGACACCGCCCGGGAAGCAGCGCGAGCTGGGCGGCCCCCGCCACATCCTCCTCCTCCTCCTCCTCCTCCTCCGGGTCCGAGCCAGCGGAGCAGAGCCAGGGCCGAGCCGAGGGCTCCGAGGGCGCGGGCGGAGCAGGGCACGGAGCCATGGCGCACCAGACGGGCATCCACGGTGAGGGCGGATGGTGGGCGGGCCGGGGGCAGAGGGTCTCCACCCGCCGCTGCGCCCCCTCCCCGGCTCCGGCTCCCGTCTCCTCCCGGGCACCAGCGCGGGGAAGCTTCCTGTTCTCTTTTGCAGCCGCGCGTTGCCTGGGGTGGCACATCTGGGGGAGGGGGACTCACTGTGCAGAGTTGGGAGTGGGTGTGCATGTAGGTACCCAGCTGGGGCGGAAGTTTCCGTGTTGTGTGTGCCCACGGGGCGTGGATGTGCCTGTGTGTGCCCATCTATGGGTCTGTGTGCCTTTCTGGGGGTGGGTGCACCGGGATGCGCACATCTGGGGGAGGGTGCACGCATGTTCACTTGCCTTGTGTGTGCGCCCACCGGGGTGCACATACACTAGTGGCTGGTTGAATGGACACAGTAACATGGGACCATCTGTAGACATCAGTGTTTCGTGACTGTGCACACGTCTGTGGGTGTCTGTGTGCACAATCTGGGTGCATCTCGGTGTGCATTTGTTACCATGGATGCATGTACCCGGTGTGTATGGCTTGTATGGGTTTGTGTCTTTGAGGAGGGGGTCCTGACCTCTGGCTCCTCCCACACTCCTGCAAGCTAGGCTGGGGACCCCCGGGACAGGGCCCTCAGAGTGGGATGGGAGAGTGGCCGGTCTGACCTTGACCTCAGGTCCCCTCCATTTTCCACTCTGATCTGAGTCTGCTGGGGCCAGGCTTGGATGGTTCTAGTTCCAGGTTGGGAACATAGAAGAGGGTCCAAGTATGGGGTTTGTGGGGGGAAGGTCTTGGCCCTGGAGACTCCAGGCCAGCTCCCCCCAAGCCCAAGCTCCTCCAGACCAGCATCACCCTCTTCCCCCAAGGGCCTCCGTTCCTCCTTGGACGGGCTGAGAGAGAGGCCGTGGCCAGGAGCCAGGTGTCCTGACCCTACCTGGGCCTCAGTGTCCCCCTCCGCTGGCCTGGGCAGCTGCCTGGCCTGTGCAGAAGGTGCAGACTGCCTGCCCAGGGAGCTGGTGGTTTGGCCATCGGCCACTCTTCCCACCACACCAGGATTCCCCCACCCCCACCCCCCCAGGGCCACCATCGACCAGCCTGACTGCCTGCCTGGATCTCGGCTTGTGGTTGTGGCCACTTGCTGGCCAGACAGTCCTGAGGGTTTCCCTGGCCCCGTCCCACAGGACAGCAGGCCTGGGTCAGGGCCAGCCACCCCCCAGGTGGACCAGCCTCCCCTGGGGAGGCGTTGGCCAGCCTGCTGGTGACTCAGCCCCACAGGAGAGAACAGTTGCCCGATGTCCCTTCCTTCCCCTTTGCCTGGTCATTGCTGCTGCCCCAACAGAGGGAGGGGGGGTGGAGGGAGGAGGGGCGGGAATCGGAAGCGAGGGTTCCTCCTCTGAGCTCCAGGCTGACAGTCCTGTGGTCGGGGCCCCACCTCACTCTCTCATTTCCTCCTGCCTGTGAGCAGCCCACCCCTCATTGCTGGCCCAGCCCGGGATTGCTGGCCCAGCCCTGGCCATAGGTGTGAATCTGCTGACCTCAGAGCAGGGCAGGGGAGGGACCTGTAACCGGAGGCTCCCAGGTGGGGGGTGGGCAAGGCAGGGGGTGGGGCAGGGGGCATGAATCTTTGATGAGAGGCTCAGGTGTCCCGCCCGGCCTCTGGATTATTGATGGTGGCTGAGGAGGCATGGGGGTTGTCTCTTCCCCTTCTGGGGTGTCACTGCCCTGGTAACACTAGAAGGGACGTGTCCGCCCCCCTTTGGGAGAGCTGCTTGTTGGCCTTCCCTCGCACAGCACGGCGCCCGGCGGTCATTAGTTAGACAGTGAGTGTGTTATTAGCGGGGGCCCCTCACAGAGCACTTTCTCCCGCTTACTCCTCACCATAGGCCTCCGCGGGGGGGAGGCTGAGCCCCACATTATGGAAGAGTTTGAGGTGCAGTGAGGTCAGGGGTCACATGCAGCGACGGGAAAGGTGGCACCCTAGAGGCCAGGTCTTCATCAGAGACCTGCTCGGGCTCTGCAGGTGGGTCGCTCTGCCTGGCCCCGTGGGGCTGTCTTCGTGTCGTGCTGCCCTGAGCACCAAGGACCCGCGGGCTCAGCTGGGACCTGTCCACCCAGTGGCCTTGAGGGTGGTGCCCAGCCCGGTCTCAGGCTCAGGTCGCCCTGCGTGAGGGGCACCTGAGGACGTGACCAGAGTGTGTTTCCTAAAGGCCCCCCCTTTCCCCGAGCTGGGCCCTATAAATACTCTCTGACCTCAGCCCTCCAGCTGTGTTCCTGCAGAATTCCCCTGACCTCTGCGGAGCCTCAAGGTCATGCTGGCTGGCCCTGTGCACCCAGAGACCACATCGGCCCTTCCCCACTCGGACCTGGGTTTCTCCCTGAACCACAGTGGGTCTGTGATGTGCCATGGTTCCCTAGCTCCGACCCCGACCCTCACCTCTGCACTCGGGTCCCCAGTCATTGGCTGTCCCCTCCCAGCTCTGTGGTCCAAGGACCAAGACAGTCTGTTTTGAGGAGTTCCTGAGAGTCACTCCTCCTCCATGAAGCCTTCCAGACTGCCTGGGGTGGGAGCTGGTTGCCTCCCTGTGTCTGCGCATGCCTGTGTGTGTCTGTGTAACCTTTATACATCCTTTGCCTGCAAACATGTCTTCGCCAAGCTCTGCGTCTGCCATTCATGTGTATGTGAGAACCCCAGGCATGGTGGCTGGGTGTGTGTGCGCCAGTCTAAAACACGTGTGTTTATTTGTGTTAGACCAGCTGAGCGTGTGCTCGTGGACGGGGGTGTTGGCATTCACACTCCTCTGCCACCTGCACGTGTTGATGTGTTACGTTCACATGCTGGGCTGAGTATGTACTGTTTGTTGCCACATGCAACATGTGCGTGTGTGTGCATGTACACACGTGTGTGTCAGTGGGCATAGTGGTCATCAGGGAACTGTTCACATGTTTCTGTCTGTGGTTAGGACAGTACTGAGTGTCTCCCTGTCCAGCTCGGCGCTGGCCTTCCTCCCACCGGCCTGGCCTGCCCCAGAGCCCGCCCCCTCCCCGATGGGCTGTCCCGTCCCCGCTGCCCTGTCACCAGAGCGCCTCCAGCCAGGCGGCCACTCACCCGCCACCTCTGCTGGCTAAATTTGGGAGCTTATGTTCAGCCAGCTCGGGTTCCCGATCACATGGAGGGCTGTATTTAACCCGCTCCCCGCTCAGCCACCAGACCCCGCGGAACGGAGCAGGCCCTGCCCGTGTCCCTGCCCGTGTCCCTGCCCGTGCCCACCGCCGCTCACCCCCACCATGTTTCTTGTGCTTGTAGCCACTGAGCAGCTGAGGGAATTCTTCGCCAAGGCGCGGGCCGGCTCCGTCCGGCTCATCAAAGTCGTCATTGAGGATGGTGAGTGCCCCCCGGGAGCGGGGACGGAGGCCGGGCGCTGGGCTCGCTGCTTCCCTGGGAGGTGGGGACACTGACCTCCAGCCCGCTCAGGGCCTCAGTTTCCCCAGCTGGGAACGTGCGGTGCCTGTAGAAAGCGCTGGAGGTGGCGTGGTCGTTACCCTGTTAAACAGCAGGAAACTGAAGCTGAGGGGTAGCAGGGCGGGCCTGGCCTGGGGTCCTGCCCCGTGCCCCCTGCCCCCCACAGGCTGTGCAGGGAGAAATGGGCTGGGCAGGGGGCAGGGAACAAGCCAGGCCAGGCCCTGCCCCGTGTGGCCAGTGCCACTCACGTCCATCGGTGGCTGCTGGCCAGGGGGAGTCCTACGGAGAAGCCTCAAAAAATGCCCCCACAGAGGGGGAAGGACTCTTTAAGATCCAGTGGGTGGGTTCTGGGCTTGGCCGGGCCTTGGCCTGGACCTGGGGACAGGAGCTTATGCGGGGGGCGGGGAGAGTTGGAGCGGAGGCCGGCGGGGGGAGGGTTTGAGGAGGCAGAGGAATAGATGACGCTTGTGGTGCCAGAACAGAGGACTCCTCTCCTCCTCTCCCCGCTCGTCTGTGCTGAGGGGCTGTCCCCCGAGATGAGAGTAAGACTCTGGGACTGGGAGTGGGCTGCCCCCGCCCCTGCAGGCCCTCCCAGCCCCGCATGAGCGGGCCCTTCAGGGGGGCCCCCCCGAACGGGCTTGGTGCCCAGATGGCTTTTCATGCATTGAATTGGCTCAAAGCAGGGTCTGCCCAGACGGGCCGTCCCCACAGACGCTGAGCTGGAGGATTCGGGGGCGCGCACCGTCCCAGTCCCGCATTCAGTAGTGGGGCAGCTGGGCGTGCCCCGGAGGGTCCAGGCCCCCCGACGGCAGCCGCTGCCGCCTCCACCTGAGTATGGTCCACTCCTGAATTTTCTAGAGAAACCAGGAACTCCCCTTCTTAGGTAAAACTCCCCGGCGTGAAGAGGGGGGCAGCATAGTGAAGGGCGCTGGCAGTGCTTCCGACCCGGGCCCCCTCTGAGTTGCGGGAGGGCAGGCTGGGCTGCGGGGCCTGGCGTTTGGGGCCCTTGCCCCCATCAGGGGCCTGGTAGCCGGTGCCGGGACCCCTGGCCAGGGCGTGATTGTCCCCTCGCCTGTGGGCTGCAGCTGTGAGCCCGCCTCCTGAGCACATCTGTTCTGAGAGGCTGTGCGGGGGGCAGGGGCGCGGATGGAGCAGCAAGCTGGTGGCTGGTGGCCGTGAGGGCCACACTGTTGGTGGCGGTGGGCACGCGTCTGTGTGTCTTCCTGTCATTGTGCCCAGTCCTGTGCGCATCACCTCGGCCGTCTCCGTGCGTGTGCGGAGGGAGCAGACCCTAGTGCAGGGGTGGGCAAACTTTTTGACTCGAGGGCCACAATGGCTT